TTCTAGGTGCTATTTGTGAGGGACTGAAGGGTATTCACCTAGGGTGCTCCCCCAGCCAGGAGCACAGACCCCACCAGAATAGGACCTCCATGCTGCAGCAGGAGCTCCTGGTTCACCCCAGCACAGTTTTATCACCTCTGCAGGTGAGGCAGATGGGTGCAAATCCATGGCTGGGGCAATATCCGGGGGCTGTGGGCAAAGCTAAGGGGGAGTAGAAGGCGAATATGGTCGACTGCAGCCAGGATGGAGGCTAGGAGTGCTCAGCGCAAGACTGCTGCCCTGGGAGCAGGGGAAGTGCCCAATCGGGCCTCAAAGGTGCAGAGGAACCCTCGCTAAAAGGGTGAAAGAGAAGAAGAAGAAAGTAAAAGGGGAGAGAAGAGTGATAGAGGTAAAGGGGGCATATGCTCCCGAGCTGCTGGTCCATTTTTCTTTTCGGGAACGCTGATTAATCGCTGCAGGCTGCCAATTGAGACAGGCACGGCTGTGATAAGAAGAGGAGATAGAAGGAGAGGGAGAGAGTTGTTTTTTTGTTTTTGTTTTTTTTTACAAAAAGAGGGAAATTAAACCCCACTTCTCCAGGGGCGCCGCAGCCCAGTGGCCGAGGGAGAAGAAAGCCACAGCTGGCTAGAGAAGGAGAGCGGGAAAAGGCAACGTCCTCCTGTATCCCACTGTTTTTTCCATTTGTTTATGCTGGCTCATTAACAGCTGTGCACCGCCAATTAAGCCGGGCGCAGCCGCAATCAGCCTGGAGAAGAAAAAAGGGAACTCCCCATCTGCCAGCAGGCGTGGGGAAGTTGATGCCAGGGGGAAGCATCAAATAAATCTGAGGGATGGCTGGGACTCGACCCCTGGGGAATAAATCCGACGGACATCATAATAATAAAAGTTAAAAAAGAGGAAAGAATCTCTTCTGACTGGTCATTTAGAGGTCCCCTCCGTTCAGGGCTCAGGGTGGGAACCAGCGGTGAGTCGTGATGGAGGCGGGGTAGTCACCACACCTGCCTTTCATTAACATCTCTAAAAAAGAAATCTTTTTTAAACATTGAAGCCGTGGCAGGTGGGAAAAGAAAGAAAGAGCCCCACCTAGACTGACTGAGGGTTGCAGTACCCCGGAGAAGGCCAGTGAAGGTCAACTGAACGTAAGGGCACACGCCCACATCCAGTGACTACCCAACACTATGACAATAATAATCCTTCTTAAGCTTTCCACATAATCATACCACCTTTTAGGACACTGTGGCAGGGCACTGTAGGTGCCTGTCACTTTAAGGGCCTGAGCCAAGCTGCCAGCACATGCCTGATTGCAGCAATGATTTTGGATCCCTGGCTGCCTTTATAACCAGCTCAGTTTCCTGCTGGCAGGGGAAGCAGCAACGTAGCCTGGCTGCAAGGCTGCTGGTATCATCCTGGAGGTAAGGGAGGAGCTGTAGGGAATGGTTAGGGGGCTCCTGGTCCTGGGCCTGACCTAAAACTACACCCTGCGAGGAGTGGGTGGCCTGGTGGGGCTCTCAGTGGTGCAGGAGCCCCCAGGAAATGCCAGGCCAGCAATCTCCCCGGTGAAAGGCGAGTAGGGGTGCCTTAACCCCAGCCCTCACCTTCAGGTAGGTTGAGAATAAGATCAGTAGCCAAGCACAATGACCGGGGGGGAGTGAGAGTTCCCATGAGACCCTGGAGCATCAGTCATGGTGTGCGTGAAGGATAACATCAAGGGAGGAGTAGAGGCCAGGTAAGCTTCTGGAAGCACCTGAGCCAGTTGGGGAGCGACTCTGCAGGGCCAGGCATGCTCTCAGGAGCACCTGAGCCAGGAATGGGGAACCCCGCTCCAGAAAGTGCAGGCAGGAGGCAAAGACCAGGGGTCCACCGCAAGGGATGCTCACAATGAGTGCAGAAGCTCAGGGTCCCGACTGGGCCTGAGATGGGGCCAGGGCTTATGGAAGCCGAAGGTTCCCATGGTTGGGGGCCACAGCTAATGGATGAAGGCGAGGGTTCAGCTAACTGTCTGAGATGCCACCTATGAGGCTTGGGCCGCGGTGTGGGGGTGGTACGGAGCTGTGGATACCTCCTAATATCGGGGTGCAACAATGGGCAGCCTCCTGCCTTAGTTAGCAACTCTTATTAATTACCAACAAGACGTGGCGGGCAAGACAGGCGGGTGGCGTGCCCAGAGGCAGGTGGGGAGCTAGCTGTGGCTAGTGAGGGATGCCCACCTCGCAACAGACACCCATATGTACAACTTTGAAGTGTTCTGCCTTTATACATTTACAAAAGAATTACCCAATTGACAGTCCACAGATAAATCACTTCCCTCACTAAACCCACCATAAAGCGGTTTCCCAACTTCTTGGTTCTCCCTGACAACCCTCCCTCCCTTTTTTCCCCTCATGCTCCTATTCTCATTGCAGCAAGTGTTCAAGTAAACAGTTAGGTAAGAATATTCTTTCAGCACGTGTTTAGACTGGCCCAATCTCCAAGTTCCATAAAGCTTGTAAACACTCCTCCAGTGCTTGATATAATAGCAACTAATGAAAAATGATAGACTGAAATGTGGGGGGAAGGGGGGGGGGGGATATTTCTTCTCCACTGACTGAGGAATCTAGCTTATTTCTATGTACCACAACAGATTGCAGGTATTTAGCTGTATTCCAAAGCAATATCTTTTTCCTTTGGGCCTTCCACAAGCAGAGTGTGCTCTATATTCAGATGTACGCTATATGTGAGAAAATATAATTGTTCATCTTTTGTTTCAATGCAAAACTAAAATGTGCACCTATGAACAGAACAGCACTATTTTGTCTTCAAAGATCAGCTTGTTTTCAAAACATTGCCATTACTTGCAATCATAAATAGTTACTAAAGCGTAAATATATCAGTAATAGTTTATATGCATTAAGTGTTTTTTATGCATTTTGTGCTCCAACATCTGGAAGATGGAAGCTGTTACTATGATGCACCCGTAACTAAGAAAAAATATGCTGGAAAATATAAATAATATTTTTTCAAGTTGTCTCTCACTTTCTACTATTCATAAAACCTTCTGAAAAAAGAAAAAAATATCTCTGCAGCATTTTTTAAACCTATCCAAATAAGAGAAAGATCTATAGATGTTGCCACCTTTAAAAATAATTTATTATCAATACATTTTGAGGGGGAAAAACATGAAAAATGCCTTTACAATAATTTATTGCATAAACAGAACATTAAAATCAGATGTAAACCTTGCCAATGAAGACACACAGGGGAAAAAAATCAGTCAGAAATGCTGTAACTTAGAACAAGCACAAG